CCCCCCAAAAAAAAAAAGTCCCTCTCATTCATTCATTGAAAAATGCTTGTCCTCCTCTGGTCCTCTTCTCAACACCAATCAATCGATCAATCAATCAATCAATCAATCAACTAATCAATCAATCAATCAATCAATCGATCAGTCAATCAATCGATCAATCTATCAACTGGTCCTCCCACTCTGTCATCTTTATACAATCACCTGCCTCTTCCTCCCACTCCTACTCCTCCACTTACCCTCCTACTCCTACTCCTACTGCTACTCCGGTAAACCCTTCTCCGCTACTTAGCTTCTATCTCGACATCTTTAGTTTTACTGTCCTCCTCTGGTCCTCTTCTCAACACCAATTAATCGATCAATCAATTAATCAATCAATCAACTAATCAATCAATCAATCAATCAACTGGTCCTCCCACTCTGTCATCTTTATACAATCACCTGCCTCTTCCTCCCACTCCTACTCCTCCACTCCTACTGCTACTCCCGTAAACCCTTCTCCGGTACTTAGCTTCTATCTCGACATCTTTAGTTTTACTCCCCGCAAACCTCTCTCTGTTAACCGTCCTTCCTTCCTTCTTGTTCTCTTCCACGAATGAGGAACATTACGGGGCTGAAACAGAGTCCTAATAATTGGACGGAATCCAGAAGATTTTCAGGAAACCGGAGACAACATAGAGCCATCGCCGCCATTAAATGATCGATTCTGGATCGATGACAGCATCGATGAGCCAACACCTTCATTGTCACCAATGGCAAGTAATCTGAATAGAGTATCTCATCTCGGCACATAAACAGTCACAAAGCGAACAACTCACATATCCAGCTACAGGTTACTTCTATATCCTGCACAACAAGCAGTTTATGCACAGCCTCCTGGTCTATGTCTAGCATAAGCATCTCTCTCTCTCTCTCTCTCTCTCTCTCTCTCTCTCTCTCTCTCCTGTCTCTTATACACATCTAGATGTGTATAAGAGACAGCGGTAGACAAGAGTCAAGGTGTGAAACCCTTCTA